CAGCCCAGCTCTAACTTTGGGGAGCTCAGTGACTCTGCTCTGCCCGGCTGTCTTCAGTAGGCTGGGTAGCCTGGAGTCCATGGGAAAAAGGACACATAACATTGAGAACAATCCCTTCGCCCTCAAATTCAAATTCAGACCTAGATGGGGGTCTATTTCTACCCCCAATGAAAGCTCGATTTGTGCTAAGTCCTGTCAGTTCATGCCCTGTGGCTGCCAAGCTCTCTCACCAGAGGCAGGGGAGGTGCCCTGGTGCGGTGGCCTCGGTCACCGCAGTTCCTTACCCCATGCACAGACAACCTGGCAGGTTTTCTCACACCAACACGCAGCACAGGACCCTGGACAGCTCTGCAGCTCCTCCTCCAATGCTCCCTGCAGCCAGCCCACTTGCTCAAGGTGACAGCACTGCTCCCCACATCCTGGCCTCCGGTTGGGTTGCAGCCAGTTTGGTCAGCCTGCCATGCTTAGGGTCACAAGGGAGATCCCCAGCTGTCCAGGGGATCTGTACAAGGGAGATCACCCCAGCTGACCTCCCTGTGGTGGTTTTGCAGGGTGTACAGGAGTGGCAGCGACTTTAGGGAGACTGCAGCAAGTCTGTTCTTCTGAAACAAATCACCTCGAGTCAATTCCAGGCCTGCGAGGACCACGGGATCCCTACTTATGGCACCTACCTATTTATTAATGATTCATTTGACAACCTGTCTCAGCCCGTTACTGTTTTAGGGGCGTCTTGTGACCCCCACTTTTGTCGTAATCATCTTCCATTTCCTCTCCCCCACATGTGAGTTCTCACCTTCACTGCACGGAAGAGCAGACAAGGAGACTCAGCCACTGGCTTGTGCAGGAAGCAACACCAGAGCTGCTTCCTCCTCTCTGCAGAGAGCTGTCTGCGCCCACAGCTGATCTGCAGCAGGCGGAGGAATCTTCCGAAGTCAACTAACGTGTCACCTCCTCTGTGAACCATCACCTCCAAGGGACCTTGCACGGCCTGCTCTCCCTGCATGGGGGACATGGGCCAGCTCAGCAGGAAGGAGTGATGCTTCAGCAGGCAGAAGCCCAGAAAGTGGGTACAGGCATACCTTAGAGATGTTGCGGGTTCATTTCTAGACCACAATTAAGCAGATATTGCAGTAAAACAAGTTCTAATCTTTTAACTGGTGGAAGGTCTTGCCTTCAATTTGTACAAAACGCAACATCTGTGAGGCATGATGAATCGAAGCATGTGGCGTGCCTGTGCTTCTCACCTGTTTGCACAGCTGGTGCTGCCTCGGAGCGCAGGTATCAAGCCAGACCTCTGGGGCTGCTCCCTATTAGTGAGAGTCAGGGTTCTGCCCACTAGAGAGTTTGGGTCAAGTGCTTAAATACACACAAAAACACCCCCAAAGGCTGGTATGCTCTCCTGGTTGTTAACACAAGGGGAACTAAATCACTTAAGTTTGCTTATCTTAAATCTCTTTTTTTAAAAGTTCAATGAATTGGGGTGACATCGGTTTGCAAAAACATACAGGTTTCAAGTGTACAACTCAATAAAACATCGTCTGCACACTGCACTGGGAGCCCATGACCCCAAGTAAACTCTTTGTGTTCCCATAATCCCCACCTCTGTCCCCCTTCACCCACCCCCACCCCTTTTCCCTTTGGCTGTCACCACACTGTTGTCTTTTGTGTTATGGAGGCCTGTCCATAAAGTATCCAGCCACGTGCCATGAAACATAGAGACATTTACTGAAGAAGATATAAGATTCAAGAAACACTGTACATACAACAATGATGCCTCAGTCCCTTTCAAACTAGGCGTCTTGCAACCTCACACAGTTCTCCTTCCCAATGGCCATTAGCTGCCCTGTTGTATTTTCCTGAATCTCATTAGTGGTGTGAAATCTCTTCCCTTTCAAAGGTGATTTTAGTTTTGGGAAAAGCCAGAACTCATAGAACGTGGGGCTGGGTCACCTGGGTGACTAGATGTTTTGCCAAAAGACTCTGCACGAGACAGGATGCACGAGTGGGGGCATTGTTGTGGTGAAGCTGCCAATCACCAGTTGCCCATAGCTGCAACCTTCTGAATCATCCAAATAGTTTCCTCAGAGGAATATTCAAGCTTAACACAAAACTGGATGCAGATTTGTTGCTCTACTCACTCAGTCATTTTGAATGTGATGGCCACACATGCTCACTCAGTGGTGCCTACTGCCCCCACTGACTAGTACAGTGAAGTCGTCATTGTTCATTGTTCACACATTCACATTCCAGCCCGCTCTGCTTGGCTGCCAGGTAACATCGATGTTGCGCAAACTGTTCTTGTTATATTAATGGCTGGACTTTTTCTGGACAGACCGTGTACCACATTTTGCCACGTACAATGCATTCCTGTGCATGATGCACACCCATATTTTTGGCCCAAACTTCCAGGGGAAAAAATCTTTCACTTTAATTTTTTAATTCAAATTTTTATTTATTTTTACTTAGAAACAAAATTAATTATCATATTCCAGGGTATTATTTTGCATACAGATAATGCTTTCTAGATTAATACTTTTAATGCATAAGCAAAAAAAAAGAATTAAAAACATTTATATAGATATGAACTTAGCACTACCCATGTATAATGCACATCCTTATTTTTCCCTCAAAAATTTGGGCAAAAAAACGCACATTATTCACGGCAAATTACAGTACACTTTTGGGGAGCTAATCCCTCCATCTCCTTTCATCCAGCTCCTCTGTCCCTTCCCCCTGACAACTGCCAGTCTATTCCCTTTGTGTATTTGTCTCTATTCTGTTCCTTGGTATATTCTGAACCAAAACAAAACAAAAAGCAAGCGCCCTGGCATATCTGCTGACCCAGCTCTCTTCACCCCTCCACCCCCATCATCTGCCCCAGGGCTAACTTGCCTAACTTACCAAGTCTGCGAGGCTTTTCCAGCACAGGCACCATGGGGGCGGGGGGGGGGGATGGGATGCCATGTGACTCTAAGTGGGCATCACCCTGCAGTGTGTGACTGAGAGCCCTGCCTGGGTGCAGCATGCCAGGGCACCCATGCACCGACGACCAACAGGCCACTGGGCACAGCTGCTACCCTCTGTGTGGGACTCTCTGCCTTCCAGATTCATGTAGCAGGCGGCCTCTGCCATCCCGTTTCCCATGACAGCAAACCGCTGGTGCCTGAGGAGGTACTCAGTGAGGAACTGCATTGTTTGGAGTAAAAAAATATATATATATATATTAATTATTTATTTATTTTTAGAGAGAGGGACAGGAGGGAGAACGAGAGGGACAGAAACATCCACGCGAAAGATGAACCTGCAACCCGGACATGTGTCCCGACTGGGAATCAACTGGTGCCCATCCGCTTCTCTGGGTGATACCCAACCAACTGAGCTTCACAGGTCAGGACAGGAGTAAAACTTTAAAGCATCCACAGGAAACTGTAAAACTTTGCAGCTTCTTCCTTCGCCAACTCAGCCAGATTCCCCCGGGATGAGGTGCTGACCAAGCTGAGCAGCTAGCTAGTGGGCTCCCCTCATTAGCAAAGGGACTGCCTGTTTTGGTCCCTGAACCTTTTCTCACGGAACATTTTCAGTGACTGTATTGATAGGTTTGTGGACAAGCTTGATTTGCTCAAACAAAACTCTTACCTTTGAAGAGGAGCTGGCAATGAATGGTACCCCCAGTGGGTCTTCCTATGCTGACTGGCTCTTGGGGCTGAGCCAAGCTGCGCTGTAATGGCGGCTTTGTAAAGGGGCTGCAGTTCCCCTCTGTCGCCTGGTGAAGAGTCTACGTGGGATTCCTCGTTACTGCAAATGCCAAACTGTTGGCGCAGCACTAGATTTACCAGAGGTGTACCGTGACTAAACCACGGGCAGAAGGTGCTCCAAGTGACTCCTCCTCAAGCCTGCAGACTAGATTTCTTCTGGGGTCAGGGTGTCTTGTCTAAGAAAGGGCTGAAAAACCCTGCGGAGTGACTCAGCGGGCTGCCTGCTGGCCACCAGGTGGCAGTGTGGCGCTATGGAATCGGGCTCCGCCTTTTGCTCTGCCTAGGCTGTTGCCTGGCAGATGCGTGCTTCCCCCTTCCCCGGGGTCCTGGACTGTGTGGAACACCCGGTGACACAGCCTGGTTTTGAAGGCCAGGGGCTAGGCTCGCTGGCTACCTCTGAGAAGTTGCCCTGGGGGAGCCGGCTGGGGGGCGCAGTGGACCCCTGTCTGCTGTGTCCCCGGACACTGCACACCCTGCAGGCTTGTTGAGAGCACCTCCATACCTTCAGGCTCTGTGGTCTAGTTTGCCATTTGGCTGACAACCCTGAGAGATGCCTGATCACCACTATCCTATTCTCCGTGACAAAGCTGTGGACGTCAGGCCCAGCATCTCTCTGCTCTTCTCTCTAGTGTCCTGGGTGTCCCCTCCAGCACTGTCATGAGCTGAGAGGACACAAAGGTTAGGCCTTATCTTTGGGGCAACAGATCTTCCCACTTGATAACCGAATCCCTGTGTGTCAGTGTCTGAGAGCTAAGGCCCATTTGGATTTGCCTCCCTTGCAAGAAAATGCCCCTTTTTCAAAGAGTAATGGGGACAGAAAGATCAAGTATTAGAACAGCTACCATGTTCCCTGCCCAGCAGGCACCCATCCTCCCTAAGGGATGGTGGGCATAGAAGGACGTTCTGGTCTGATGGGTTTTAGGGCACCGCACCCAACTCCTTCAGCAAATGAGACCTCTCTGGGACCCAAACCTGAGCCAAGTCTGGAAAACGAGAGGTGGGAGGCAGCAGCAGGAGACCCTAAAGAGGAGCTGAAGGGGTTCCGTGGTTGTGGGTTTTCCTGCTAAGGGTTGGAATAAGGATGTCCACCAAATGGCTGAAGTGGCAGCACAGCACCTGCGTGTGGGGAGGCAGCGAGCTCCTACAGAAGCCAAGAGTGGGCCCTGGGATTCCCCGTGGGGCACTGCCACTCCTGGGGACCTGGCCGAGGGCTGCGAGAATTCTTGAGATGAACACCATGCACACTGAAGCCACAGACAGAATTTATTAGAATTTGTGGAAGCACGAGGTTATGTACCATGAAATAGTTTGGTTGTAGGACATAAAGTACGGTGGGCAGTTGTTGACGTAGAGTGTTGTCAGCAACAATGGGAGTTCCACATTTTTTAAAGGCAATGGACAACATCTATGTTTTCCTTAACATAAAATAAAAACAGGAGGGAACAGCAGAGACCAACTTGATTTGCAGTTAGTGTCAAAATCTAAATCTAGTATCACAATTGTAAGAAACTATAAGAAAACTATTAGAAAAATAGAGCATCAAACAAGCAAAAAATATTTTACAATTTACATAATAAAAAACAGAACTTGTTTAACAATGGCTCCATGTTCAGTAGAAGAAAAAGTTTACCCAAGAAACTACAGCTCTTCCGGTTTGGTAATACCCCAACCCTCCCAGGGGTCACCCCACTCGGTGCTCCTTACACCCACTGATGCTGAAAGGCACAACTTAAGCAGGAAACTTATTTTAAATATATATAACTTCTCAAATGGGAAATTAAGTCCCAAAATTAAAAAGTTTGTCATCAAGAAACACAAGATCATATACCTTGTTAATAAATTAACAAAGTCTGAGTGCGTCTTCTGAGCCCTGCTTCCCGAGCCTGCTGGACTCTCACACCCTGAGAAAATCCCCTGGACTTTACAGCCAAGGTCGTCCATCTCCTTGTGGGTCTTCCAGCAAGCAGTTCAACATGTAGAGAATGATCTGGGATGGCTCCTTGAGAACTGCGCCCTGAGACCCTTGACCAGTCCACGTCCCATTGAAAGAGAACACAACCTCAACAAAGCAGTGGCACAAAGACTCTGGGTTATAGTGATGAAGGTAAAAGTCAGTCAACATTTTTTTTTTTTACCTAAATCCCCCATCAGGCATCATGATGACAATGATGGAGAACAGAGTGTAGTTTTGACGCCACTGGATCAATAAAGCATTTCATTATCAAAAGAAAGTCCATGAGAGTCTGACAAAATGTACATCTTCTCCTCCCCAAGGAGTCTTACATACAATACTCTCATTATGATAGCAGATACATTTTAAATTATATGTAACAATTATACCATATATTTAGTTCCACCAGAAGGGAACTAACAGTTCCGTGCACACACATCACACACCATGCCCCAGCAGTGAGGATGTGCCCACAGACACACCTCTCCTTCCGCCCTGGAAGACAGTGGCCATGAGGCCTGTGACCGGGATGGCCCTTGTTACATGTGTGTTAGTGGGGCCTTCAAATCGGAAAAGATGGGTCCTGGTACAGAGCCAGGCAGAGGTGCCCAAAACGCCGGTGAGCTCACCTACCATGTGGGTAGGGCCCCTGTAAGGTGAGTCCACACTCACCCAAGGAACCCAGCCTCCCAGTCCGACCTCAGCGGCCACCATTGTTAGACATCCTGTTTGGGACAGCAAAACCCACTCGATCCAGAATGTCTGCTTAGTGGTGGGGGTGGAGGGAAGACCTGGCTGAATGCACCTTCCCACCCCTATGCACAGCCCATGCAGTGGCCGAAGATCAAGCAGGGCCAGGTGCGTCATCCAGGTGTGAGCCTACGCCGTGGCACAGGTGCAGAGAGGAGTGTGTTGGGCCTGGGGAGGCAGCCTGTGGTGCCCAAGTCACACATCAGCACATGGGGCCAGGCGGCTGATTGCCTGACAGAGTCAATGGAACAAAACCAAAGGCTGGGGAGACCTAGGAGTCCTGCCTACAGCCTAAAGTTAGCTGTCCTTCCAAAACAGCCTGGAAAAGATGGCTCCCCCACTACTTCTTGGTTTGGAAAAACAAATTCAGCCCAAAGTCCAGCAGAGGGGGTGTGAGCAGGTCGGGTGGGGCCAGGCACATGTGGCGGCCTAGGGTCCCTTCTTAGAAGGTACCGGGGGCCTGGCTATTGCCTCAGAGACCCTCTTCACACCCTCTCTGCAGCAAAGGTCCAGCCGTTCCAGTTTGCTGAATTTTTAGGAGTGACGTCATAAAAACATGCCAGTGGGATTTTGGAGGCAGGAAGGGGCGTTGACTCATCACAATGGTCTTTCCATCCTGAGCATTGGGGCTGGGGCGCAAATGAGCAGACACAATATCCCCAAAGGATGTGTCTCTAGTCGTGTGGAGTTTCTGACTGTGTAGGAAAATACTGGCCGAGCCATGAAAGGCAATCCTGCTCTTGTTTGGTGAGGGGCAGCGGCACCTTTGGTGGGTTTCCCTTTTGCCTGCGTGTGTATTTCAGGGACAGTAGTGGGGAGCATGATAAGAAGTGCATTCACTTCGAATGGGAGTGGTGAACCCCACCCCCTCCCTACCCATGGCCCCCAGACACAGAGAACACACGGCTCTCCACAAGAGCACTGCGCAGCAAGGGGAGCATGCGCACTGGGTCCGAGTCGCCCTGGGGCCCTGCTCTGATGGGAGGGTGCAGGGCTTTTCCTTAGACGAAGCCACAGTCTTCTGTGAGCACCGCTGGCTCTGGGCTGAAGAAAGGCAGACGTGCCTGTTGGGGGGTCTCATGCATGAGACAGTGAGGGGGGCGATGCACTCTTTTCAATGCGCAGAACAACAGACCTTATTAGTGAAAAGGTCGGCTATAATCACAGTCTTTTGGGCACTGTTTTGTGTGGAAATTTCAGCCAGAAGGGAAATTAAAGTTAAAAAAAAAAAAACAACTTAGACACACTCTCCCTCCAGTATTTTGCTTATGTGGAAAAATACCAGACAAATTAAGCAAACAGCTAATAGGCCCCAAGAAGAGAGCAGACAACCCAAACAAAATAATATTTATCAAAATAGTTTACAGCACCAATCTACATAAATTAAGATGTTTCTTTGGGAAACCAAGCTTGGAACTTTTGGGGTTCCCCACCTGTGGTCTGAACCACAGTGGCTCAGCCTTGGGTTGCCTACTGCCTGCCCTTCGCTGGCCAACCAGCCATTTGGCTATTTTACAAATTCTTAAAATTTTCTCCAAGAACATTTTGCGGTAAAGTGTTGTCAACTTACCAGGCTTCTTCCTACTCACACAGATTTGCGCAAAGGCTGGGGTGGGGCGGTGAGGCAGGTGGGGGGTGGGCAGGGGAGAAATGGAGACTGAGCTCTGAAAGCAGCATTTACATTTTCTGTGGTGCCCCAAATACGTGTCTCCCTCAGTTCCATCAACACAGAAGCTTCTGTCCCCTGAATTACACTCCAGCTGCAGGACTCGGCCAGCATCCCTGTCCCCTCTGGCTTCTTCCGCCACAGGGGTGGGGGTGGGAGTGGGGAAGTGTGCTCTGTAGAGAGACTTCTGGAGGCATGAGGTCCAGGCAGGACTACAAACCCATACACAAACCTGGCGTTTGGAGCATGAATACACCAGAGGGACAGCAATACGACCCCAACTGTCTCACGTGGGGGCCCCACACTCTCAACATGCCGATGGCACCAAGTAATTAATTATTTGGCCATTTTCCAAGTTACCCTTAAGCACCAACGTATTTGCTGGAGTGATTCACAGAAACTAACAGGAGGACTCAATTTGATCACACTTACAAGAGGGGTCAAACAGATCACGGTGGCCAGGACTGGTCACCATCACCTCAGAACAAGCAGACACCTGTTCTGGGAACCTTATAAGACCCCAGGCACTGACCCGAAATCATCAGAGGGCAGGACTTAGTGAATGGCAGAGACCCACAGAAAACGGTGTTTTGAGCTCTGCTCACTTGAGGCCGATTGTACGTGAACACAGTGTCACATTCCAGTTACTCAGGACACGCAGCCAGCGGTGATACGCCAGAGCAGCAGGAACAGGCCAGGCCGGAGGGCAAGTGGCTGATGGGGGCTCCCTGTGCACACGCAGCCTGGAGTGGACACGGCACCCCCAGCCTCGCTCCCACAGTGGCGCTCCTGCACTAGAGTGGGCTGGGGTCTGTCAAGGTGGCAAAGCAGAGCCCCTGCGTGGAGGGGAAGTGGAGAAGGGGTCACAGTCCTAAGGCCCCTCTGGAAGCTACTTGGAGGGCAGGGCAGAGGAAGGAAACCAGTCACGTTTTTCCTTGTTGGGTAAACTGCTGGGGTGGACGTGTGGGGATGCACTATTTTGTGGTGCTTGTCTTGCATCTATGGCCGGCTGTTTGGGGCTGAGCAGGGAGATGGCTACTGCAAGTCTGGGGTAGGTGCGTGTTCGACTCCAGAACGGTGCCTGGCGGCAGAGCCCTGGCCGCCTCCTTTCTACAGCAGCACAGCAGGAGAGGATCTGCTTTCTCTGTGAAGAGGGAGGATAAGAGGTGCAGTGGCCAGCCACAGCCAAGTGGCCCTGGCCAGGGAGCTGTCAGAGGTGACCAGGGCCTGATGAGCCTGCTGCAGAGCAAGACCGGGCAGGCCCCACGCCATGGGGTGAGGCTACAGTCCAGGTACTGCACCTTTGCCACTCGGGGGCCTGGTGGTTGTAGGCGGGTCCTGTTGCGTTTGTGGAGACAGCGAGATGCTTCTGAGTCCTCCGTGGGCATCCCTCAGGGCCGCTGTCACCTCCAGGACACAGAGCCGTGTGTCACTTGCAGTGGTCCAAATTGCCATCAGGAGTCCTTGCTTGGCCAGTGGCCAGGGATGCCTCCTCGCTGTGCCACAGTCCATAGCCGAAGTAGATGGCAAAGCCTGCAGGCCAAGGGCAGAGCACAATGAGCAGAGAAGGGGCTGGAGGGTAGCAAGGGGGGAGGGTTCCAGGGAGGCAGGCAGAGCAGCCCCAGCAGAGGAACCCTTGCCATGCTGCCTGCACCACACCGAGCCTTTCTGCGCTTGGAGGAACAATGTGACTCTTCAAACAGGGCCAGCAGCGGGGACGCACCAGAAAGCCCCGCACCAGGAAAGCCCCTGAGCAGAGGGAACGGCTCAGTTGGGGCCCCTGGGAGGGACATTAGTCCTTCAGCTTTATCCACTGGCCACCTGGCTGGGGGGTGCGTGGCCACCAGAGGGGCCAGGGCAGACACTGTGGAAGCTGTGCAGCTATGCTGTTCCCTGCCAACATGCGGTCCCAGCAGCCACTGGGTCGCCCTGGGTTTCTGTGCCGTATGCATAGTCCAAGCTGCCCTTTTTCTCTGTGTAAGTGACTGTCACACTGCAGGAGGCATTCAGGTCACCTGGGAATGTATGTACCATAGGAATCCAGTCCAATCCAGTGCTGGGCACTCCAAAGGTCTATGGTTAGGTCCAGACCTGTTCAGCGACTGTGGTCCCGAGGTCACCCTTATGCTGGTGACATAAGGAGAGCAGGCCTTAAAGGAAAGACTCAGCTACCAAAAGTACAAAAAGCAGCAAATGCCTGGAAGCCAGAAGCTTACACCAGGGATGCTAAGAAGCAGGCACCATGTACCTCTGGCAGGAAGCGAGCACCAGGCCCTGCAGTCTCAGGGAGTGGGCACAGTGGGCTGAGCGCGGACTGAGCCAGGTCTCTCACAAAAAGTCTCTACAGGAGGTGCCTGCCAGCTGGACACTGCCTTTGAGGGGAGTGAGGGATCTGCAGAGTGGGGCAGTTGAGTACCCCCTAGAGTTGGTGCACCAACAGCCGTCTATTCCAAAGTGTGAGAACCCAGGACTAAAAGGTCTGGCAGAACCATGGTCCTGAGATTACTGCTCTCATCAGGGTTACTGAGGGACATAGGTCGAGGCCAGTCCCCCTGCATCAGCACTCAGCTTAGACACTGAGGGAGAAAACTGAGTTCATCTCCTGCAGCCCCTAGAGAGAGACCAGGCCACAGTCAGGCCCAGAGAGGACCATCGCCCCCACGGTGACACACAAGCCTCTACAGGCCCGCAGTGCCCACATCCCACATGGAGATGTGAGGGCCCGACTTTCGCACTGGCAGGGAGAAGGACTGATGCGCTATCGATGGCACTCATAGCCTTGTTCTTGATTAGCCTCAAGCTCTTTCTTGCTCAATGACTAGTTTAGGCAAGAGGCTATTAAAATGAAAAGTACCTGAAAGAAGGAGGGGACCCACAACCTACCGGGAACTCCGTGTTGTTTGAGAGAAAACTGCTGACTACCTGTATTTCCACTGTGTTTTGAAATCTGAACTGAGGGAGGCTCAAGGACATTAGCCATCCAGACAAGTAGCAGGGACACGAGAGAGCAGCAGGGATGGGAGGCCTCAGGAGACACTGGAGCACGGGACATACTGGTTACAGCAGCACTGATGAACTGACCTACCTATCAACATCCACACTGCAAACCGGACCCACGTGCCTTGGTCCAGCTGCATCATGAGATAGATGTTCACGAAGATGCTCAGGACAGGAAGGACTGGCAGGAAGGGCACCTGCAAAACACAAGGTGGCAGCGTCAGTTCTGACAGACTGAAGAGCATGGAGCTGGTGCCTATTTGAATTATTTAGCAAAACTACCTAGAAAACATCATGCACCTGACACTCATGTGGATCTCTGAGAGCTGTGTGGATGGCCATCTTTACGAGAGGAACAGGAAGTTGCACTAACCCCGCCCCTGTGCCCCTAGCCCCTCCCACACAAGCACACCCACATGCGGGCAAACCCTAACAGGTGGGAGTTTGGGTCTAAGCAACTAGCTGCCAAAGTAAGCTCTATTCTTATTTTCCACTACTGCTGTTTTTCCACTAAAGCCGGGGGCTAGGAGGAGAATTGCACTTTACCTCTAAGGTTGAACTATTTTATTATTTGTATAATCTGAAAGTGCAGAAACCTTAGTCACCTCGAAGCCTGGATGATGATATATGATCCACCAGGACAGCATTTGTGAGAAGGCCTGGGGACCAGGTAGGCTGCGCCACCTGAGAGCCAGGGGCAGGGAGGGGTATCTTCCTCCAGAGTCAGGTCCTCAGCAAGTACCGTCTGTGCCCACATTCTCCTGACACTGACCAGCAAGTACCTCCTGCCAGACACCCAGGCTTAGGGGAGCCCATGTAGGGACCGTCCCACTAGGCAGTCCCCTGCAGGCCTGGCAGGCAGTCACTCACCTTAAACGAGAGCTTGGTCTTGCTCTCAGGCTGTCTCCAGATGATGACTGTGACCACTAAGCATAGGATGGCAGAGCCAACGAGTATAAAGACTGCCCACAAGGCCCCGTCTGCAAAAGCCTTCTTTCCCATCACAGCCACGATGCAGAAGATGATGATAAAAATTGCTGGGAGAGACACGGAGAGAGTGGGGGAGAGAGAGCTGTGTCTCAGCCATTTCTCAGGGGCCCACAGATACTCGCGGCTCTCTCCAAAGCCCATGGAGAGGGAGGCTGTATGTCTATAGGTATCACCAACAATGAGGACAGAATAACTGACAGCACGGTCCAGCAGTAAGACCCCCACACCCAGGGACAGAAACCATGCAGCACCAACAAGCAGGACCCCAGACACATTACAGGGAAGGGGAGGCTCTTACCTATGAGGCTGGTTGAAATGTTCACAATTAACCCAGAGATTTTGGAGGGCTCCATGTTTTTGGGTGAAAGTATACTTTTCAAAGAAAACCTTTCTGCTTCTGGTAAAAAGCCTGTCTGGGAATCGCTGGTGCTCACCAATTCATTCTGGTCTATTTGGTCCAGCTCCTCGGTGGTTCTGGCCATCTGGTATACCATGTTAGGTTGCTCTGGCTGATACCTGCACACAAATGTGACCATCGTGGCATGCAAAAAGATACACAATAATTCAAGTTCTTAGTAAGCCCTCATGGGTAAGTTGCCCAGGACATGATGCAGCATATGAAAAGATGATGGTCAGAATGACATCTTCTCTGGCAAAGCAGAAACACAGACAAGAGCCGGGTCCTCTCCTTCTGCTGCTGCTTCTGGCAACACCCTCCTTGGTGTCTCTGTTTTGAGACCACTTGACCTCCACCATAATCCAGCCCAGAGAAATGTCCTGAGATGGTTTCTCTGGCTCTGAGAGTAGCACTGGCCCTTGGAAGCTTAAGATATTAGGCCACTTCCAGCAAAACTAGGCTGCAGGAAGCTAAATGCACAGACAGAAATAGAAAGCAATAACATTAAGATCCTATTTGGTGCAGAGAACTGGAGAAATGTGTCTGCAGGCTGATGGCTCTGAGATACTCTGTTTTCGAGACTTAATTGGATCAATTTATTTTAAAGCTCAAAGTGCCTTGGTATAAATAAATCTACAGAGCTGGGTGAAAGACCCAGCCCATGGCATGATTTCCAAGGCACAAGCTACCTGCAAATGGAGCTGTCATTTTAAATGAGGCTCCTTTCCTTATCTTCTCACTCAAAATGAACAGAGCTGAAATCTTTTCCACCAGCTTTGAAAAATAGAATGCCTTATAAATTATTTTGCATTTAGTCTAAAAGTGAGCATGAAGATATTCACCATATTTTCACTGATTCACTTCTGTAACACCATTTGGCCAATTAGCAAACTAGTTTTAGCTGATTCTACATGGTCACTACCAAGGCTCAATCCAGATGTTACCTACATTATCTGCCGTGCACATTAAAAATGGAATCAGTGGCCTTGCAAGTAGAAATACCTGAAAAGAAACAAGAGGCTCTTGCCAGGGGACCAACACTAAGAGTCTCCATGAGGACGTGTTCTCATGCTGAGTGCTACCTCGGGCCATTTCTGGGACTTGGGAAGCAGAACCCTGTCCTTCCAGAGCAAGTGAAACTGGCACCCAGAAGTATGCTGTGGAGGTAGCTGAGACACCAAGCTTAAGCCCAGGGCTGCTCTGTTATCTCAACCCAGGGGCTCGCCTGGGCACCCAAGCCTGGAACAGCCAGAACCTGGAAAGCCTTCCCGAACATCAGCCTCGGCCATCCCACGCCGTATACTGGGACTCCTTCCTCCAGCAGCAGTGCAGAGAAGCTTCAGACAACCTGAGTTTCAAAGGTCATCCCAGTGACCTGCGTTTCACTGTATTCTCCCAATTTCCACCAGGGCCAGTCCCCAGACCCCTCTGTCCCAAGAACCTGGACCACACTGCAAATATTACCCAAGCCTTCAAAACACCTGATCTCAGGAATTAGGCCCAGCAGTTGTGCAGAGAACCTGTCTTGACTCTCCCAACATCCAGACAGAAAAATGAGGGCACAAGCCAGAGGGAGGTGAGGCCATCCCTGGCTCTTTGCAAGGATGTTCTCTGCAACTAGGCTCTCAACCACCAGATCCCACCCTCTCCTGGGTAGTTCCCAGCGGAGTTATCAATAACCTAAAATTTACTCTGTCTAAACCATTAATCTGAACTGCTAAGAGGCTAGCAGGGTCCATGTGCATTTCTGTCATGGGACCAGGAAAAGCCATACATACCGTAAGACCAACACACAGGCAGCCACCAAAGAGTAAGCCAGGAGAGTGCCGATGGACATGAGGTCCACCAAGTCCTTCAGGTCAAAGAGAAAGGCCATCACAGCTGGGGAGAAAAGCATCAGGATCCATGGATGGTCCTCTACACATACTGACATCCAGAACCACCACCTACCTGTGACCCAGAGCACATGAGAGGTGCTGCTTTTTCTTGCTCCCCACACACCCAGCCCTTTCCATGGAAAGAGGCTTAAAGGAAGAAAAGCTCAGGATTAAATCATATATAGTCCTCAACAGATGGTAACTTTGCAAGCTATTCCAGCACTACAGACAGAGAAACTGAAGTTCAGACTGGTTGGAACAGTTACCTAAGGTCACACAGCTAGTACGCGAAAAAGTCAGAATTTGAACTAGGTTCTTGTGAGTCCCAGTCCAGTGTTTCTTCCTTTCCATCATGCTGGCTCAGAGATAAGTCATGTGCATCCATCCACCCCTCATCTGCCTGGCACTCACTGAAAGCATGGTATACACCACTGAAGGTAAGAAAAGTATCTGGCATATCATCCAAAATATATGAATCGGTCAGCAACAGTGATGAGCAGGTGGATGAGGGCGGACGAGGCTCCTGACCCAGACAGTTGAGCATGGAAAGCAGTGTTGCTCCTCGACAATCTCAGTGCCTTCGCCATGACCACAGTTTAGAAAAAACCCACATGCAGGCTTATTTTAAAATCCTTGGTACTTTTTCAGAGTGTGCGTGCGTATTTATGTGGGGACACAGGTTGCTTCCCATTCAAACAATAACTTGGCTAGGTCTATTTGGGGGTATTTTCAAATCATTCACAATCAAGACAGTTAAAACATAAACACAGAACCACTGCTTTTCCACAAATACTACTCAAGCCCCTGTAAATCACTGCAGCTAAAAAATTGTAAATTGTGAATAAATAATAGGATTTAAGAGCAGAGAAGACCGTCTGAGTAATTAGAGCAGCGTCCAACCAGGCATGACGCCGGCGCCCACATCCCCACTCACAGAAAAGCTGGAGGCAAATCTCCTCCATGTGAGGTCATTTTAGAAAGCCTAATACTTTTCCATACTCCCACCAAATAAAATGAAGAGAAAATCTTTGGTTTGGTGAATATACTTTGTAGTCACTTTAATGATTACAGTTTCATCTCCCTTCACCAGCACAGAAAGGAAGTTAAGGCCAGTCTTTAGTATGATCAGATTATGTGTAAATACTGAAAAAATCTTCAGTTTCCAATGCCTAAATCCCTGAAATGTTATCAGTCATATTCTGACATATAGTGTGCCTTAACCTGACCACTGCAATCACTCTCAGGAATGTAGAATTATAGGACAAACTTGGTGAAGCACACTTTGCTAAGGGCATAAATACTATTAATAACAACTCATTCATTTAAGATAGTCAAATGTCTTACCAATGGCCATTTGACAAATCCCTGTGGTACAAACTGTGACCAATGTCATGTGTCCTAATTAATGAAAAAACCTGCTGCTCTACTCACAGCCTGGAAGGAGACAGACTCTTTGGCATAAAAACAAAGCAGGAATGAAGCACAAGCCAGCTCTGCACTACGGGTGTGCTTCCTGCTTTCACCTCTGAGTCTCCACTTCCACATCTGCACAATGGGATCCCATTGCCTCTCGAGTGATGAAATGCAATCATTGAAGAAGGAAACACAGACGACAAATAGCATACAGTGCATGTGCAAATAAGTTTCTGTTCCTCCTTCTTAACCCAGGGCCCGTGGAATATCACATAGACCAGGAGTCCCCACCTCAGGCCTGTTAGGAATGGGGCCACACAGCAGGAGCTGAGGAGCAGAGGAGCCGAACTTCATCTGTTTTACAGCCGCTCCCCGTCATTCACATCACCACCTGGGTTCCACCTCCTGTCAGATCAGCAGCAGCACTAGGTTCTCACAGGAGCACAAACCCTGCTGTGAACTGCACATGCGAGGGATCTGGACTGCGTGCTCCTTATGAGAACCTAATGCCTGATGATCTGAGGTGGAGCTGAGACAGTGATGCCAGCACTGGGGAGTGGCTGCAAATACCAGATTATCGTTGGCAGAGAGGTGTGATTGCATGGAGACCATAATAAATCAATTGCTTATAGACTCCTATCAAAACCTTATCAGTGAGGGGGAAGTGTCAGTTAAGCCGCATCTGGTGACTGACTATAAAGCCAATCCCACCCCCTGCCCCAGGCTGTGGAAAAAATGTCTTCCACGAAACCAGTCCCTGGGCCCAAAAGGCTGAGGACTGCTGACACAGACTCAAGGCGTTTTTCAGTCCCCTGATGCCATCTGTCAACTCAACCTCTTGGTGAGGAACCTCATGTGTGGTAAGATAAATATCCTCTGGGCCTGCCATTATTTATACACCTTAGGCAAATGGCTTCAGCAGAAGCACTTCAATATCTCCTGGGGAAGAAGTAGTACATTTTATACAACACTAATCATAAGGGTCTCTCGCTTCCCAGAGAATTCACAAGCATAGATACAAGGACACTAAATTTTCAGTAAAAACACACAATCTCACTTGGCTTCTAAATGCATGGAGATGTCACCTCACAAAAGTCTACTGAGGGACACTCAGATACAGAGAAGACCAATGGCTTTGAGGGACCGTGTGTGTCCTAAGCTCTGGCCAATGAGAGAATAATAACAAAATTCAAACTTTTAAGAAATTCCATCACATCTCTGTAGCACTGTCCTCTGCTACAGGGCAGTTACCTTGCAACAAACCAGGTTCTAAGGGTAAAACCGAATGTTAAAAAGACCAGTTAAAACTTCTCATGGGCCACAGTATAATTCAGGACCTTTCTCTAAGAAGTAATAATAACTGAACTGTTGAAATATTTATGCATGAAATTATTTCCAGTTCTTACCAGCAATGGCACCTGATGTTAATGTGGCAATTATTGGTGTTTTGGTCCTCTCATTGATTTTAGCCAAAAATTTAAATAGCAGTCCATCTTCAGCCATGGCATAGATAACTCGAGGCATGGGAAACATGGAACCCAAAAGGCTAGGTAGAAGGAAAAGGCAAAAGCATCGGTAAGATGAGCTTACCAGGAATCAAGGCACCAGCATCCGACCAGGCCCAGTTGACCTCTGAGGAGTGGGGACCCTGAGCTCTCCCCAAGGGCTGGTGCCGGCCAGGCTGGGTGAGGCTTGTGCTAAAGACTCGGAATTCCACACACCAACCCCTCAAAAAGCACTTACTCCGAGTTTGTGTAAGTGTAAGAATGGGAAAGGCCCAGCAAACAGCACAAACCAACTTACCACTTTTCTGGAAAGGAAATCTTACAGTTATTCTTGCAGTTATTTCCAGCTAAATCAAGCAGAAAATAAAAGAATCTCGACATCCATGAGGATGTCTCTGGTAAATCAATATTTACCATATAGTTACTGTTCATAGGTTAGCAGGAAACAGCAGGGGCAAAACGCCCTTCGCTAAAAGGCATGCACTCCCGTTTTCAAGGTCGCCTCTGCTCGACGGCCAGACTGAGGCCAAAATGCAGTGTTCGAAAGGCTGGCCTGATCCAGTAGCCAAAATCGGGAACAGAAAACCAGTCCCTTGCCCAGCAGATGACAGCCTTGGGCTCTTCAAGAAGATCAATAACATAATTGACTCTTGGCTGATTAACAGCAACAGCAAGGGAGAGAGCACAGAATGAGAGTCGGGGTCACTGGCTCCGTTTCCGGGAACAAACGTAATTTTAACAGCAAATCTGGGCATATGGCTTTCCTTGGCCCTCCACACTTGGTGCCTGAGGATCCTCACCTGGTAGACAGAGCACAGAGGGAGCCGACGGCCACTGCGTACTTGGCGCCTTCCCACCCTACGTGCTTGAAGGCGTCAGGCAGGGGGCTGTCCTTGTCCAGGCACAAGTACGGCATCATGAGTGTGAGGGCAGCCGACACCCCGAAATAGGCAATGAAGCAAATCAGGAGGGAGGCGACGATGCCCACAGGAATGGCCTTCTGGGGGTTCTTGACTTCTTCACCTAGAAGCAGCCAGGAGTCAGCCCAGGAGGTTGAGGTGGTGAGGGGTACCCCACAAACCACAAGGCCCCAGGCCTTTCAGCATCCAAGGAGTCTGTGCCATCACAAATGACTGCCACGGAACTCGGGTCTAGGGGGGCCAGGGTCTGCTGGGCTCTGGAAACATGGGGTGGCCCCTGCAACACAGACCAGGTGACTGCTAGGCCCCGGATGGTGTTCTTGGCTGTTCTGTCATGGTTCCGCCAAGGGAAAGACTTGCTTCCTTTGGCGGGAGATTTGGGAGGCACGGTGGAGCCTAGACTTCAATTTGCCAGAATGACAGTATTTTTAGTGGCCTTGTGTCTCCGAATGATGCACAGAGATGAAGTCAGCCCGTGGCCTGGGCTGTCATTATCCCCCTCGTTCTAGCAGGAGGGTTAGTCACACTCCTGCTGCAGCTTCCTGTCGGGAGCTGCCCCTCAGGGAAGCAATAGGGTGGGGAAGACTCTCAGGAAGCTGCAATCTACACGTTCCTCCTGCGTGAAAGCTCGGCAGCCGGCACAGGCGCACGGGGAGGAAGACGGCGACCCGGGGGAGCACAGGAGGACCAGAGGTGGGCAGGCGTACCTGTGGTGGCGATGCAGTCGAAGCCCACGAAGGCGTAAAAGCAGGTCGCTGCTCCTGACAGGACACCGGAGAAGCCGAAGGGCATGAAGCCCCCGAACCCGAATTTCCCTGCCTTTGTGTCACTAGAAAAAAAGAGCCACAACAAAGATCACAGCTCCAGTTTCATGGTTCCAAACAGTCACCGCCCAACATACACCCGCCGCTGCAGCCCTCAGTGTGTGATCCCGGACAGCTGTCACCAGCCACCACAAATAGGACCCTCAATGTGCATGGCCTAGAGCCATCGAGTGTGCACTAAGCCCTTTCCGGAGATGCCTTATAAATATTGACTTGGAGTAGGGGTGGAATGTAGGAACTGTGATGGGCTGTCCAGCAGGAAAGAGGGAAAAACCAACAACTGCAGCCTCTCCCCCAGACCCTAGAGAAAGAAATGAAGCCAGGCAGTGCAGGTGCCCAGACCTAGGAACAGAATGCAAAAAGCCTCTGTATTTACCAGCAATTTAAGTCTCAAAACAAGCATTTCCGAAGACACTGAGGTTTGAAGAATGGTTTGTTTTAGTGAACAGAGATGCTTCCTAAGCACCCACACGCACGAGGTAAAGAACTGGGATGCTCCATGGGCAGGGACTGGTCCCCAGCACAGCTGGGCTCATGGGAGGTGCTCAGTAGTGTTTGCCGAAGGAACGAACTCAAAGTCAAACACATTTGGTGAACCTCGAAGTCCGTGAAGATCCAGAAAATAGTCCCCATGGATTGAAACCTGTGACTCTAGACACTAAGCTTCAACAGGGGGCCCTTCACTCCTGCTGGCCCCATCTGGGTGGCCGTCCTTGACATCAGTCTACCTCAGGTCCTGCCTGGCACCAAGTAATCTTGAACCTCCACCACCTGAAGAGCAGCCCCACTCTTTCCAGTCTGAGAAGGGCAGCTTCAGCTCCTCAACACGGCTCCCCGTCAGCCCTCCCCACTCAGCTGACTGCCCCTACACACAGACCACCTCATCCCCACGACCTGAGAACAGTAATGAGAGAATGTTCCAGTCCTATGAACACCGATGCACTGAGACCAGGTTAGCAACTCATTCTGGCAAATTTGTTTTCAGTAGGATTTACCGACTGACTAATAAAACTGACAAACAATTTGGACCCAATTACTTTCTAATGGGAACAAGCCTTTTCCTGATTCCTTAGGAACAGTTACATTTTTCAGTTCCAGAAGATGCCATGGAGCCGCTGGGACTTACTGTGGTACAGTAGCAATGTGAGGGCAACCTCAGCAAATACACAAGCGATGGATGTGGGTAAAATTTCACCGGATTCAAATGGAAGCTAGTCATTTCGAAGTGCGACTTAAGTAAACTATCAAAAAAAGCTACAAAAAAGGCAGCCCAGGACAGTTAAGTCAGCAAGGCGCAGTCCGCAATCTACACTGTCTCCCAGGTGCCCGGGGGGCAGCCACTCCTGGGTCCATGAATCACAAAGAACTGCCTCCGAACCCAGGCAGGATGAAGCCCCTCCATGCTGTGTAGTTTCACTGGGAAATGCTTTAGTACTTCAGAGAGACACACAGTTTCATGTAAGACTGTGTGGCCATTGTCAGAAACACAAATCTACAGCTGGTAAACCAAAAAAAAAAAGGAACATCTTACAGGTTTTAATAGAATGAGTGAGCAAGCTACGCCCCTGTCCTGGTGCACTCTACTTGTTCAAGTGGCTGGCTCCCAGCCCTCCGCCGCTGTGTCTCTGGGGTGGGGCAACACATGCCACTTTGGCTGGGAGGCCGGTACAGCCCATCATTGCTAGGATGCACAGTATAAAGATGACCAATGAAAGCAAATAGCACAGCTGGCATAAACAACCTCTTCATAAAAACAAAAAAAATGAAATCTTGACTGACAACCAGGAATCCTTTAATCCCTGACCTATGAACAGCAACCAGTAAGATAGGCTGCGCCTGCTCAAAGCTTTCAGTCGACTATTTCTTCAAAGCATGTTTGAGTTGGCTTTACTCCATCCTTAGTGAATGGGCACCGAGAAATGTGGCATAAATTGGTGAGGAATGCTTGGGAAAATATACTAAAGTCCTCATTTCTCTGTAATAGGGTTTAGTTCTCAAAATAAGGGCCCTTTTTATTTGAAATGTTAACCATATAATATGGGAGTTAGTGAAGTTTCATATGTTTAATTCAATAGCTTCCTGTTTGCACTCTGGTCATGAACTAGACACACATCACTGCCTGCCCATCAATCAGACCACTCACTGGATGCCTAGCCTGTCACAACCAGCAGCCAGGTTGGCGTATGGCCACTCAGACCCCAGTGTCTCAGCTTCCCTTGCAGCTAGCTGTGGCTGCCTACTGAGTTCTGGACAGGGGACTGTGGGCAGAAGGGATGTGTGTCTTGAAGATCTATCCTTAAAAGCACTGGGAACACTCTGCTCCACACTTGTCCCCTCTCTGGGACAGGTGGATCATGCCAGTGCCCACTGCCCAGCTCTGACCTGGTGGATGAGGGCAACATCCGCAGAGATGACAGGACAGCCTGATGCACAAGCTGGGCCCCTGAAAGCTGATATACCACCACACTGGCCGGACAACCAAACTGCTCATTTCGGACCTGAGACATCATTTTAAAGCCACTGCATTTTAGGAAAGTCTCTTTATTTGAGCAGTTTAACCTTTAGCCATAATTAAAATAGATTCATAGATAGAAATCAAACTCCTTGTTCTCCAGCCTGGGGCCCTAAGTTTCACCTGAAAATCTGATGAGAAAATTAAAAAGATACGTTATAATTATTTGGCTTTGTGTCCTAGATGATATGAGTTTGTTGTTGAGGGGTCACTGCAAGGCCGGAAAAGGCAGGGGGCTGCGAGCAGTCCTGTCACCAGCTTCACCTGGGGTCCTGAGCCAGAGATGCGTCAGGAGGACGGGGCCACTGCTTTCCGGGGCTGACGCCGCCCGAGTCACGTGTGGGCGACGGAGATGATCACGATGACACTTGGAAAGTCACTCTGAAAACCTTTGTAAAAGCCCGTGATAAAAGTTCCACATATTTCTTTTTCAGTGTTATTGAGTATTTCAAAATAAAGTGGTATCACCACAGTATTGCAGAGAAAATCTTTTCTGATCACACAACTCAGAAGAAGGTCATGAAACAGAATATGGGGGAAAAGGGATGACGTGGTGAGTCTGACAGTGATCTTCAACTGTGTGCATTTTGGAACCGAAGGAGGATTTTGTTTTGCCCAGTAGCACCTGTCATACGATGTCCTGTTTAGTAGAGGGAGCAAAACTTAACACAAATCCAAACCAATGAAACACCCTCAGCTACTTCACTACAAAAAAATTAACAAAAGATCCAAATTCAAGTCACATTATAAAAGGAAGACTCATATAGTTCTAGCCAATTCCATCCCCCAAATGCAGAAACGGCCATGCGCCAAGGTGAGAACAGAGAAAACAACTCACTTGCCGCACAAGTGACCAGTCGTGTTCTGGAAATCCTCCTCCGACAGCTGCCAGTTTCTAAGTGATCCTTTCACGAATCCTGACACCATGATGAAGCCCAGGACCAGAACGTTGACACAGGTGAATATTTTGTTGACCATGGCTGATTCTTTCACGCCGAGAGTTAAAAGTCCTGAAAATGTGCACATACAGGAAACATTGAGTGTTCACCTCATACCAGGCAAGTCCTTCCTGGGATGCGGACAGGGATGAAGACGACGACTTAAGAAGAATCCACATGGCGTCCAATCTCGGAAGACTTCTGTGAGCCTGAGGGGATGGGGCTGAATTCATGACCCTTCCAGAGGCGGGGAGCAAAACAGCCGAAGTCCTGGGGTGTTTAATAATGGTTCGAGGGTGCCTCCGGGGCACCAGGGGACATCAGGACCCCCTAGGGATGAAGCGAGCTCTTCATCCCTGTACCGTCCCCTCACTGAAGTATGTTACTGAGAACTGCCCTCAGGGGCAGGATTTTATTTTCTCCAAGGCAGAGACATTTTGCTCAGTTTCCTGGCAGAATGAGCTCTTCAGATGAGAAAATTATTCAGGTCGACTCGGGGAGGTCAGCAGTATCAGCAACACCAAGTGTCTGTGGTTGTGGAACCACCGCCCTGCACGGTCCCCTTCAACTTGGTGCATGGCAAACACGAAGTCAGACCAGCTCGTAAACTCACATAGAAAAAAAACACCAAGTGATAAAGACACCTGGGACCCACATGACGGCACAGGGCACCCTTGGGGTAAACGCACCATCTGTGGGGCTCTGCGGCACACTCAGCTGGGCAAGAAAAGTGGCAGGTGCCCAGGACACATAACCACCATTTATGATTAGAGATAGCTGCTCTGCCATGTATGTCTTTTATACACTTTAAAATAAAAAATGGTAACTGAATAGATTGAACTCTGAAATGCAAGTGTAAGAAGAAAGTGGAGCCATCCACCCCAGAGAACAGGACACCACACTCTGCAGTGTTTGTCCTTCCACGTCCCTCCTCTTGTGTTTATGAAAATCTGAGCAGTGCAGACTTAACTTCTGACACACGCTCCTGCCAACTGGACCAGAAGTACTGCTGAGACCGGCATGTGCAAAATGATTTCAATTACACAGAGGGCGAAATTACGCAGGTTTTTTAAAACCTATGCAAGGTTTTCTAACCTCAAAAGAGAAGTTATCGCATTTCAATTTAATGTTTATTTCAACAAAACTCCCACCCACAGATAAATGTCAGCAAGAAGCAGCTGCCAATCAGTTGTGGGCAAACAAACGCCACCTGAAATTTTTCAATTCTGCACACACAACTATGTCACAAAATGTATTTACTTAAAGGGCGTCATGACGCCCAGTGGGTGTGAAAGCACCAGAGGCGTCCCAGACACCCGTCGGTGCTCCCGACAGACCTGGTTCCTCCACACTGACCTAGCGTGGGAACCCCAGCTTCTATTGCCCAGTGGTCATCCCGGGGTCAACAGAGTGTGTTCCCAGGCCACCTGCACAGAAAGCCTGCAGTACCAACCAATCTTACTCCATAGTCACGTAAACACCGAGGGTTCCCTTTTAGCTAAATGATACACAAACCTATATGACTCTATTAGAACCCACTAAGGCAAAAAAGATGTCGGCATTAATTATAAAAGGAGCAGGAGGGGGAGGAAGAGAAGAACACGGGGAAAGGAGAAAGAAAAAAGGAAGAAAACCTAATGCGAGCCTGCCTTATACCCTGGGCCTCTCCTCCAACCTGGTGGCTCTCTCACTGTGTGGCTGTACCTGTTAAGATGAGAATTATAATCACAGCAAAGATGTCTGGGTTTTCGGCCAGCACTCCGGGGAGCTTCAGAGCCATGTGTGTCCGAGAGAACTCCCCGATGGGTTTGCCAATCAGCTCATCAAATGTTGCACTCCAGGCTCTTGCCACGCTTGAAGTACCTGTCCCAAAACACACACACCAGAAGAAAGTGAAAGAAAGCAGTTTCCAGAGCCCTTTTTCATCCAGCTGGACGTTCACAGCACCCATATGTGTGATCACAGACAGCACACAAGACTGCAGCAGCAACCAGACCTCAGCATATGTGAACTCAGAAGTTCACGGTGAAGTGCAAAGTCTGAGAAAGCTTCTAGGGCCTGGAAAAACATGCATTTCCCACCATGACCCAATACACACATGTATATGTGTTTCAAATAGTTAACCAAGTTATTAACAAAAGTTTTATAAAACATGTTACCCTGGCACCTGAGAGGCACTCAGACCGTGTTTATTCAGTTCTACCTCTTTGATTTCATCACACACGGAAACACTGATGGCAGCCCATGAAACGACGGCACGGCGCACTCTCCAGTCGCAGTGAGCTGCGTGCACCTTGCTCAGAAGCTCCTTTTCCAAGACCATCCTGGAGAACACGGCTCTCCCCGCAGAGAAGGCCAGCGACATGGTACGGGGCTGACCCTGCCATCTGCCACTCTGTGCCTGACCCTGAGCTCACACCCTCGGGTCCCCAAGCGCCTGCCAGCAGGCAAAGTGCTCCATATTCTTCCCGCACCCCGGCCACGAGGAACGCAAAGGGAGGCGGAGCTCCCAGTGCCACCACCGGCTGACTGCGCACACTGTCTCTCCCTCCCCGCCCCCTTCTCTCTGTCTCAATCTGAATCAAGTCTGCTTGTCCAGCGCTACTCCTCAGGAAATGTCACCAAAATTCCAAAATTCACATAAAGCATTTTCCTTTCCTTTCTCCAAGGGGCCTTGCCAGTGACTGCAGTCTGGGTGACCCCCAGGAGTCTGCCGCAGTGATCTGCTGAGACTCAATTTTGCTATTTGGTCTCACGATAAGTAACCTTCCAATGGCTCAAAAATCGAACCACATTTCTTCATGCTGAGCATCCCGCCTATTATGAAATCTGTCCATCAAGGCCACAACCCAGCAAAGAAACATGGTCTCCCACCTGGCCCAGAGGCTGGCTCCCTGCTGACTGGGACCCTGAACCCCACCCAACTGGCTGACAGGGGCTGCCGGGCCTCCCTGACCCAGTTCTGAGTCAGGGCTTTAAAACCCGATGTTGGCCGAGAAACAGCTAAGGCTGAGAGGTCCCTACAGTGACACGTGACGTGCGCACGGTCCCACACCAGCAAGTGGCGCTCTGGCAAAGACGTACCATCTGGGGTCTGGAAGTGTGAGGCCTCTCGCCCTCTCGTGCCTCGAGCCCAGATAAGTCCTCTGGAAACACAACAGTCCATTTAAAATAGCCGCATTCCCACCAGGAGAACCCAGCGTGCCTGAGTGTCTGCACTGGCTTCAGCGTTGGGGTGAATTTTATTTTGGAGGCTACAAGAGTAAGCGGTGTGGGCCCCGAGCAGATGCCGCGAGGCTGAAAGGGAAGGTGGCCTGGGCGTGTGGTGGTGGGCGGCCCTCGGAGGCCCAGGCCCGCGGGCTGAGAGGCTTGCCGTTCCCAGGACCCACGTGGCTCAACTTACCACATCTTACTATCTTTTGAAAATATCACAAAACGCCTGTTAAATATAAATGGAATGTTTAATGGCTCTTTGTATTTCCACTTCTGTGAATTGGCCATTCAAATTCTTTGCTGATTCTTTTGTTCATGTGTTTGCTTCAACAGAATGACATGCAACCATTAGGAATAATGCTATGGGGAAAAGGTTAACACTGTGAAAAATATTTACTATGTATCATCGTATAAATAGACACACTGTGCCAAAAACATGTATGTCATGAAGAGAGATTGTCTCTTTCCTCTATTGTGTCCCCAATATCTACCAAAATGCCTTGCACAGAGCCAGTGCTCAGTAAATATTTGTCGCAAATGAATGGATGAGAGAATTCATGTCTCTCAGTTCTCAGATTTTACTTTCTTCTTTGTGCTTTTCAATATTCCACCCATCTTTCAGTGTCCATAATGAATTTACCCTAGTACTAAAAAAAAAAAACAAAAAAACACAGACACATAAAATAATGAAAAGAGAGTAAATCCTTTTTAAGTAAGTAATCAGAAACATCCCACTGGCTGTACGTCTGTCACGTTAACAGGACCGATCTCCTTGTTGGCCTGGCTTGTCCCCACTAAGCCCTGATACACTTGCCCTTGAACTCCAAGAGCACAGACCAGAGGGGCAGTGGTGTCCATAAGGCTGCCTCCACCTTTTGTAAAAGGAGAAGGGAAGATGGACGACAGTCAGGCAAGGAGGGAGCTCCTGGGGAGAAGCTAGATCGGGTCTATTTGAGAGCACAGCGGCGCATCTGCCCATGACTGGGAGGTGGGAACAGCAGAAGAGGGGGACTCACCGATGATGTAGGACAGAATGAGGTTCCACCCTGTGATGAAGGCCCAGAGCTCCCCGACGGTGACGTAGCTGTAGAGGTAGGCCGAGCCGGTCTTGGGCACACGAGCGCCAAACTCGCCGTAACAAAGGCCAGCCAGCACGGAGGCCAGTGCAGCAATCAGGAAGGAGATGACGATGGCAGGGCCCGCATTCTCACGCGCCACAGCTCCGGCCAGGACGTACACGCCAGCGCCCAGCGTGCTGCCCACCCCCAGCGCCACCAGGTCAAAGGTGTTCAGGCAGCGGGACAGGCGGCTCTCTTCATGGCTGCAGTCCACCACCTTCCGCCTCAGCATCTGCTGACCCAGGCTGTACAGCCTCTTGCACCCCATCCTGCTGGTCAAATCTGCCGAGGAGAAAGAACAGGGCACGACATCGCGGTCACCCCTTTCACCCCTTCCCCCCTCTAGTCACAATACATAGTACAACCAGGTCCCTGCTGTCATTAACTGCTAAAATGTTTTCAGCCTCAGAACCCCCCAGTGAGGACCCCACCTAGGAGCTCTCCAGCCGGAGTCTTGCTTGGCCAGAGCGCACAGAGACGCGGGGGGCCGGGACCCCGCTGACCTTGCCCCCGGCTCTCGGAGCGGCCGCCTTCCTCTCAGCTCTGGCAGAAACCTTGTGTGGGCAGGCAGTTCCGGAGGCACACAGCGGGGACCCTGCTCCTGCCCTCCACGGTCACGCAATTTACCAGAAGAAACAAGATGCCATCCTAAGTGCACTGTTGGGGAGGAAACCCGAGCCATCTTTTAATTTATTATTAAAACCCGGAGGCCAATGACAATGTTTTTTAGACCTTTATGGAATCATCTAGGGGCCAGGACCAAGCTGTTTCCATTTTTAAGTTAACCCAGAGTTAGGCCCATAGCAGAAAAATGGCAATTTATTAGACGTTTGGCCTTTTCATAACTGTTACTACTCCAGGAATCCATTTTTTTAACCCAAATGTTAGCCTTATGTGTACAAGACACTTCTGAGCACATGCTGAGAGAGAGCGTATGTTCGCATAATGGCTCACGCCACCCGCTCCTCACAGGGGACACAGCCTCGAGGGCCCCAGGACGCCAGCTCAGCGTGTAAATGGCCCTGCTGTGACGCAGGGGCCCACCCTGCCTGATCGGTTGGGCCGGCTCCCACCTTTACGGAGGCGAGACTGACCTCCCCACCCTCGAGGGTGGGCTGCCTGTAGTAACTTCCTTCCGAAGAGGATGGTCTGGGAAGGGAGAGAAAGGAGCCACTTGGCAGTGGAGAAGCAAACGGTCACAGTCCTGCCGATGGCGTGATGTGACAGGAGGACGTCTCACCCTGGTGACCTTAGCCCTCAAACCCGAGCCCGGTCTCGTCGGGTGAGAAACAGCGGAGGAGTCGGATGAGGAGCCCTCTGCCCGACGCCTGCCCGACGCCTGCCCGACGCCCCGCGAAACGGTCAGAGTCATCCAGGCCAAGGAGGGTCGAGGAAACTGTCAAAGGCCAGAGGGGCCTGAGCGGGCCTGTGGGACCCTGGACGTGGGAACGGGACAGGAGCGAGGGAAAACCGAAGAGAGTCTGAAGGAAGTACGGCCTTCATGTGCACCAGTGTCGGTTCATGACAGGAAACTGGGTATGGAATGTGTGGAAATTCTCAATAATACCTTCACATTTTTCTATAAATCTAAAACTGTTCTAAAACAGCTATTTAAAAAGAAAACAGCAAGTGCAAAGATAAGCTACCATCATTATTTTTGGCTACAGAGATGGAAACGGTATCATTGATTTTTCATGTTTATCATCAGTTGATACCTACTGACCTAAGTTTGCTGCAATAAAGCCATTGGAGATCACACGCCAGCCAAATCCATACCTAACCCTCCAGAACACTGGACTGCCTGTCCCAAGACAGGGCCCCCTGCGTGGGTCATGACACTGGCCAGGTCCAGGTCCTGGAAAATGGGGGTGGTCCTTTCTGCATTTCATCTAACAGCTTTTAGCTAGAATGGGAGAGAAAAGTCATCCGCTCTGGTCTCCTTGTTACACAGATGAGAAAAAATAACTACAAGAGTCAATGTCACACAGGGTCACAGAGTGCTGACGACACAGCAGCCCAAGTCCTCATCTAGGACTCTGGCTTTACAGGTGGGAAGGAAATGATCTCACTGTGTCTTAAGGTGGGGAGGAAGTGAGGAGGAAATGAGGAGAGATGATTCATTTGTGGAGCAGGAAAATCAGACACAAAGGTTCGATAAGAGCATAAGAGGGCAGGTGACCGGAATGAGAGAGGAACGAGCACAGAGGTCAGTGGCTTCCCTCAGCAGCACACCAGCCTCTTCCCGAAAGCTCTCAGGCCAGGAGCAGATTCAGGGGAAGCAGCTTTCACAGACAAGAGCAGCTTGAGGGGGAGCAGGTATGTGAGGACCTGCAGGGGACACCAGGGCGAGTGGAAGGCCTCAGCACTGTCCCAGGGAGTCATTCCTCCCGTAACTGCCTTTTCTTTTCTTCCTCAGAGGATTTAACTGGATTTATTCCAAGAAGCTGTAAATCACAGCAATGTCATTAGCAAGTGATTGCTTGAGTAACAAGTTTAAAGGGAAGGAGCACGTTTCACCACAACCCTTGATCTGCTAGGGCATGTGTAAAAACATGGTAAAAGAACAACTCAACATCGTTTTTGGTGGGGAGGGGAGTATGTATAAGTACACAGGAAATTTAAAGGGAAGTGGGAGGTGCAAGTGCCTTATCATTTGCATTGTTTTTAAGCTGGTTGGTAGATAAGGTGAAAGAGGGCCTGCCTGTTCCCGTCCTCTGCTAGACGTGGCTTCTGAGTAACCATAAGCAGACTTTCTTCCCAGAACAATAAAAGCCAAGTGCAAGGCATAGGCAATGCAATTAAACAGCATTCTCACTCGGCTTCCCAGAGTAAAGCAAACTAAGGGCCCAGATGGCAGGATGAGCCATCTGCCTTCCTCTGAAAGACAACACTTCTGTCCCTTCTCAAAAGTTTGCTGTTGTCTAAAGCAGAAGAGTGACCACATTGGGATTCTTCCCAAAAGGCCCACTAGCGACCAGACAGGCTGGGAATGGATTTTTGAGCCTTCTTAGGGTGGAAGGCAAATAGGAGCCCGTGACTCACTGTCGGCAGAAGTGGCCCACCTCGGGGGGCACAGCCCCACGTGCCTGTGTCATCAGTCCAGGGAGGGCTTCGGCCAGCAGAAGCCCACTCACGGAACCCACTGACTAATCCTGGGGGCTCAGTACCATTTTCAAAATAAAGGGGGCAGATTATTGAATTCTGTAAATTAGAAACAGATGGTTTCAAACATCACACGAGAAGGGACTTCTCTGAGCTGACAAACCATGACCACACAGATGCAGCCCACTGGGGACCAGCCTCTGCAGGACCAGTTCCCCACAGGAGCCCTGGGGCAAAGCGCTCCGGGCACTGGTGGGGTGAGGCTGGGTGGGGACCTCATAGGAGACCAACTGCCCATCATTCTCGCCTTGGTCCCTCCACAAGTGCTGCTTGCTATCTATGCGAGGGGCACCCGACTCCTCTGGAAGACACTGGAACAAAAATGCCACAGAGCACGGCCGAGAGGTGCAGATCTGATCCTCGGGAGGGTGCCGCCATCTCCGGTCAGGTGCTCATGTCTACCTTCCAGGGTAGGGGAAAATGCGACACTATGTCCTGGCTTTGTTTTTAGGAAATAGCCTTTCTGTCTCTTTGAAATAATGCAAAACCGTGTCCTCCAAGGGGCATCATGTGCACACCCGGCCACCCCTGTGCACACCCGGCCTGTGCACACCCGGCCACCCCTGACACTCATGCTGGGACTCCAAAGCTGGAGGTTCTGCCAGCGGTGAGACCACACGGAAGTTCCCCTGCAGGCAAACCCCACGTTCCAGCCCCGGCACCGCCAGGTTTAGACAGACTTCCTGCTGTCGGGAGACACACATAGAGTCATCAGAAGGCTCCGACAGCATCAGCTGGAAATCAAGTTATCCTTTCTCATGGGGAGAGATGTGAACAGTGGGTGGCGCCTACTTTGATTTGAAGTTTTGACAGAAATCTTGCAAAGGCCTCCAACTCATTGTTCTCCCTGGTCATTTATCATCAAAAATACTTACCTTCTGTGAAATCCTCCTGGAAAAGCTAAGGGATACCTGTTCCTTTCCCACAGAAACCCAAACTCAGAGTAATTTCCCCCCTAGTAATTACTCTCTACTAACAATAGCAACAAATCGATCAATCAGTGGTCAGATCTTTAGAGATAAAGACTCTTCTATGCTCTGTTTTGAAGGGTTCTGGAGGAAAGTGGGCAGATGTGAATGGTATGATTTTAAAAATCATATTTAGTGATAGTTTCACCACTGAAGAAATCCAGCTTAATGGCCTAAAGGGGTCTGATGTAGGCTACTATATACACTAAGTTCATAAATGCCATTCATTGATCAAAATATTAATATTGACATTGTACTAGTCAAAACTTTGACTCCTCCTTGAAGTGACTGATGGTCTTTAGAATGGCTCAGGCCCCGGCGGCCTTTCACCAGGTACCTGGTGGGCACCAGCTGGAGTAACGTCTACCATTCCAACAGGATGTGCACTGGGGTCCCCAGCTCACATGCTACAGAGAGTGGGTCTCTGCCTGGGTGCTAGCCTTGGGGGTTCCATGAATGGGTGGGCAGACGCAGTCACCTCCCTCCAGCACGAGCACCTGCCCGCCCGTGGGTGGCTGCCCTGAGGCACCTGCTCTAGAGCTCACACAACTGTAACAAGGAAGGAAGCAGATGCCTGTGACTGGGAGATCTGCCACCAGGTGGTAGGAGGGGTCCAGAACGGGGCGTTCTAGGACACTGGCCATTGTGGGAGAGGAGAAGAAGCCTCAAGGCAAGGAAAAAACCTATGTTGAAGGAAGTGTTCTCAAAGCCGGATCTCCACTTCCTCCCAGATGTCAGGAGGCCCAGGTGCAAGAACTTCAATTTTTAAAAAACCAGAAAGTAGACACTAAACATGGCAACCCAAGAAGTAGGCATGGCATTGTGAAAAGGAGGTAAGAAATGAGAGATCTGAACCAAAACTAGGGGGTTGGGAGCAGGTGTTAAAACTACAAAAACAGGCCCTGGCTGGTGTAGCTCAGTGGATTGAGCATGGGCCTGTGAACCAAAAGATCACGGTTCAATTCCCTGTCAGGGCACATGCCTGGGTTGCTGGCCAGTTCCCGGCAGGGGCCAGTTCCCAGCAGGGGATGCACCAGAAGCAACCGTACATTGATATTTCTCTCCTTCTCTCCTTCCCTTGCCTTTCCTTCTAAAGATAAATAAATATGCACCCCGATGTTCATAGCAGCACAATTTATAATAACCAAAAGC